TACTGGGACTTTTTTTGGTCTTGGATTAGTGGATTGTCTTTTTTCTTTTTTCCATAGAGGGTGATTTAGAGTGTGTGGCTATTTTTGTTTTTCTTCCCCTGTCCTTTAGGTAACGACTCCTTTTGGAAAACATCAGACAGCTTGAGCACCATCAAGAATAGGGACATGGTCTCCCTCATGAAATTGGATAATGCTACTTTTCCAAGGATAGTGGGAACAATGAGAATAAAAGGGACAAGAATTTCAGAAAGATGGAAGCAGTAAGTGGTAAAAAGCCACTTTTGGAAAGTTTGGCTCCTATCATGACTGGCAAGTCCAGCTAGCTCTTCCGGTCTCTTGGGATTTATGTAGGCTTGGGAATTTTTCTCCTGATGCCACTAAAAGGAACAGGAGAGCTGTGACAATTCCAAAGGTTGTCTCTGGCCTTCCTTTATTTGCTTACTCTCTTCTTAACAGGATGAACAGGCTGCATGCATGACCTTCCTATGTAGGTCTGAAAGCACCTAGCTTCTTTCATTACACTTGCTTAAGAACAGAACTTCAGTCTTCTAACTATAGTTGTAGGCAATCAATGTTCTAGGTGTAATTACTTGGTCTCCGCACTTTGAAGGCATTACCTCTACTATCACTTCCATCTGCTCACTTCTCTTCTGGCAAGAGTTCCCTGTCTTTGCTGTGGTCTGTCACCTCCATGATTGTAGAACTACGCAACACAGAACCAATCTGAGTGAAAATCTAGTGAGAAAGGGGAAGATGGAAAGATGGGAGAGAAAACTCTGACTTCATTTTGGGACTCGAAAATTCTCCCTCCTTTTATGAAACAGAAAGAGAAAGGGAACTAGTTAGTCTGGTGCTGCCAATGTTTTCTAAAAATTATTATTCTCCAGCAACCTCATTGCTGCCTCCTAGTGCAAGTTTTCGAATTGAAAAAAGAGACCATTTACTGGGGAGGACTAAAAGGGAGAAAAAGAAACTGAAATTACACAGACCCAGAAACTTTTCTGAGTATCTCTGTTTCTGATAAGAGACATTTGTGGCCACAGGTATTAACTACTGTGACCCCAAAGAAAGTAATGTCCCACATGGATTCTACTAACCAATGTAGACTCTTCCCTTACAGACTTTTACAATCAAAAAATGTCAGGACCCACCACAGTTAGAATTCTCTTTGATTATTCCCTTTCATTTCCAATATTCTATACTTTCCATTGTTAGGATAAAAAATTCCCAAGAAAAAAAATATAACAGTCTTTCCATTGTGTCATCATAGAGGAAGAAATTAAAAATAAATTTGGCTTGAAATTTTACTTTGCTAAAAAGCTCAACAAGACTCATTCACATGGTTAACAAAAACAATGGCCACACTGCCTTCCTTGATAGTTTCAGAACTCTTTCCTTGGCTGTGAAGAAGTCAAGTCAAGAATACAGACTCCTTAAAATCCCAAATTGAAGACCAAATTTCTGCTCTTCTGCAATGTATAAAATTCTGCTGGATGAATAAATGAACACACAAATGGTCATTTTTCTTGTCATGATACATTTGTTTTCCAAAATTCAACACTCTTAGACATGAGAACTTTCAAATTCACTGCCTATCAGGAATCATGTACTATTGCAGTTTATCTTAGAAAAGTCACTCTTGTGTTACCTTACGCATTTATTTTTTAGAACACATATCATATATGAGCATACATTTCAATCACATAATACAAGCAGATCTTTTTAATGATAATTTATTGCAGATTTTAAAACAGAGCTCAACAGCATAATTTAGAATACCAACACACAATGAATTTTGTCAACCTTAGTCATTTTCTACATGTCAAGGTTAAACTTAACTTTATGCAAATGATCAGAGAATAACAGTTTTTTATACCTGTGTCCCTATACATATGTTCTTTGTGTGACCGTGTATAATATTTTCGTCTCAAACCTATTATATAAGTTAGTAGGTTAAAAGCTCAAGGACAGTAATTTTGTAGTTTATCATCACAAGACAGTATATTTAATATCCTAGTCTATGTAATTACACCTGCCAGTGTTTTACCCTTGCATATCCCAGAGCTTGTGAATGAGATGTCTTTATAGAGCCTGTTAAAGGAATATGGTTCTAGAGAAATCAGCCCAATTGTTTTCACCAGTACAAGGGCAGAACTGATACTGAATAGACGTTTGTAAATATGCCATCTTAAGAAAAAATAAATAAACACACACTCCTGTCACTGCTCATTCAGATTTCTATTACCACAACTAACATTTAACAACACAAGTGCCCTTTTTCTATTAAAGTGAGCAACACAAGCCTAACCTTTAAATAAGTAGAAATAAATATGATGACCTAAAACAATCCTTGTTTAAGTTCAGAATTACCATCGATGCTGGGTTTCTCTGTGCATATGTGAGTTTAACACAAGTTGAAGAAAGCCGTAAACATGTATGTCCACTACTGTTAATAAAAGTTTCCGATGGCATATATCACATGGACATGTACATTCTCCCCGACGGGCAGGCTACCTTGAGAATAAGATATGCTACAAAGCAAGAAGTGAGAGAAAAAAATAATGCAAACAAAACTATGCTGTTTGGGGTTTTTATGTTTGTGGGTTTTGGGGAGTTTTTTTTTGCATCATGTCAATTATAAAGAAAATTGCTCTAACTAAACAAGAAAACCGTGCTGAAGAGCATTAAACTACTCCAGGAGAGTGTGTGACTACATTTTACTTCTTCAGAGAAACAATCTCTACTTCCTACAGATCTTAAACACATTACCCTAAGTTGTGCCTTTCAGAAAGATAGGATAAAGGTAATTGCACCTTAAAGAGGTCAGCACAGCTAGCTCTGGTACCAAGTACGAAAACGAACCAGAATGGTTAACGCCAAACAGCATCCTCGGCTAGCTCCTTTCCCCCCAGAGTTGCCTGAGCTGTGTCTTTCATGCCACTACCTTTGGCTGGGTGGTACATCACCAGCGCAAGAACACGCGGGACCGCCAGCGCCCTCGGGACCTTGCAGGAAAATGAGTAACTTTCTTGCAGGCCACCGTCTCCAACGATTTTCAGAGGAGCAGATCTCCCTTTCCCTGGGTGTCACCCTCTTCTTCCGTAGTTCAGGAAACTCTCCATCTCCTGCGAAACGCCTTCTTCCTTCGGGGCCGAGACTCCCGGAGCCGGGACCTGAGCAGCCCAGCGGGGCCGGCCCGGACAGCTGGCCGAGGACACCGGGGGTTGCCAGCGCCCAACAGTGCGCAGACTCCGCGGCGCGCCGCCGGCTCTCCGCTGGGTGAAACCTGCTCACCAAGTGAAAAGGGAATGGGAGGGGGAAGGAGAGGAGGGGGGGTGAGAAGCAGGAGATGGGGGGGCGATCCTGTTAATTCGAGGTGCGGGGGGGGGAGCGGGAGGAGGCGCCGCTGGTCCCTCCTCCCTCCTGGAGTCCCCGGCTCCACCTCCTCCGCAGGGCCCAAGATATACACACTGAGCTGCGGCTGGACGTGCACACCCCGCGCCGGGCCGGGGCGCGGACGCGCGCAGGTACAGACACTCACCTGAGCGGGTGCGGTGGACGCCAGCCGTCCTCGACGCCTCAAACGGAGCCGGGACTGGCGACGGCCGGAGTTGGGGAAGGGAAATCGGAGCGGCTCCAGCGCACACTGAGGTGACGGCGAGTTTTCCTCAGGCTGTCCCCCACCCCCCAGTTCGGCCCCAATCGGGACGTGGCCTGGAGATCTCCGAGCCCGGGGCCCCCGGGGGCGCGGCGCGATCGCGGGCGCCCCTGGGCTGGGCGAGCGCGCCTCGCGAGGGGCGCGGCCGCGCCGGCGCCGCCAAACTTGGGCGACAAAAGTTAGTTTGCAAGTACCCGGGAGGTGTCGAGCGGAGCCGGGAGAGAACACAGTCCCGGCCGGATTAACTCTCCAGATTGCCGTGCCTGCGGGAGCCCGAGTCACCCGACGCGCCTAGGGGGGCGCTCGGAGCCACCCCGGCCCAGCGGACCGCCCGACGCGGCGCCTCGGCGGGCGGGGAGAATTTCCTCTGAACCCCGCGGGATCCCAGGCTTGCTCACGCTCCCTCCGACCTCGTTCCTCTTCTCTCCGGCGCGAAGACCCGAGAGGAAGCCTACAGAGGCAGGTGCAGGGGGGGACATTCCTCCCCCCACCCTAAATAAAACAAATCGCAGCCGATTGAAGGGGGAGGGTGGAATCCCCACCCGCACGCCCGGGCCCCCGAATCCAGAAGAGCGGCGGGCGCGGCTTTATTTGCATTTATATCCGCCGCGGTGCGGTACGCTGCGGTCCCGGGGCGCGCCCGGACCCTCCTCCGCGCCCCCTCCTCCCCCTCCTCCTAGGGGCCACCCCCTCCTTCCCACCCCCATCTGCTTCTGTCAAATGAGAAAGTCACCCAGGAGAACCCAAACACTCCAGCCGCCGAGAGTCCCTTTGGCACTTGGCTGCACGCGGCGCCGGGCTCCCGGGCTCAACTTGGTGGAGCCTCCGCCACGCAACTTTCTTTCCGCTGCTGCTGCTGCTGCTGCTGCTTTGCATTTGAGAGCTCGAAGACAGACGGGAGGGGGAGAACGGAGCCGGGCAGCGGCGACCTGAAGAGGATCTCGCCGGCCACCGCGATCGGAGAGAAGGACCAGAAAAAAAAAGAAGGCAGCAGAAGGCAAACGCACCGCGGGGGGTGCGGGCACCGCGAGGAGTCCCCGCGTCCCGGAGAGGATTTTTCTTCTTCTTTTTCTTCTTCTTCCCTTCCCGTGCGCTCGGCGGGCGGGAGAAAGCCAAGGCGGCCCCGCAGCGCAGCGCCGCGGCCCTGGGCCGGTCCCCCAGCCGCCTCC